AAAAAAAAAAAAAAAAAAAAAAAAAAAAAAAAAAAAAAAAAAACTCAGATCTGTGTTTCAGATCTATATCTAAGATCGCTTTTTCCATGACACACAGCAAATGAGCAAAAAAGTCATACTCATGCTCTTCTCTTGGACATTAAAAGTCACAATAGAACAGAGAGAGCCTTAATAATAGCCCAGACTTTCGTATTTTTACTGTAATAATAGTAATAATAGTAATAATCATAATAATAAAAGACGTGAAAAAGCAAGAGTGGGAATGGAACCAGACAGGACAAAAAAAAAAAAGGCAAAAAAAAAGGTTCTGACCAGAAATAGTTCTTTCCTCAAAAACATTGAGAGGCTTCTCTTAATGCCAAAGCATTTTTCAGACTTTGCTGTAAGTTATTGCACAGGTACAAATTATTTAGTAATAACCATGCTGAAAATTTCTAGTCATTCTAGTACTGTCTGTAAAAAGTATTTTGAAGGCACAGTCTGCACACAGCATCTAATGCATGTCTTCAGCAACTCCTGGAATGCAATAAGTAAGTGGAGTTATTATGTGCTGTTAGTTGAGTGTATTGATAAGGGAAAGGGGAAAGTTCTAATGTAGGTACCTGCTTCCTTTTCTAGGGGGATTCTCACCCCACAGAGGCAAGAGAGAAAGCACAGAATCCAATACACGTCTGTGTTCCACAGGTGGTCACACCAGTTCTTTCCCTTTCACTTTGTGGCATCAGTCCAACTCCCTGTGATAATTATGGAGGACAGACAGAGACAACATAAGGAGGGATCAACAGACTTTGAGTTATGAAGCTATTATTACTATTCATCACATTAATAATTATTCAAAACCTTTGCAGTTTCATATATTGACTCATTGGAGATACCAATGCATCTTTCCCTAATTTTACTAACCTTAGTGCCACTAAACCTTTTTCGTAGCTCCTTCTGTGTGACGAGTTCCCTTAATCTGTAATAAAATTCACTCCTCATTAAATACTCATGATCATTTTTCCAAAGGATTGAGCAGAATGGAAAATACTCAGTTTTTTTCTTCCATGGTCCCACCTGTACAGGTCAACACATTTTTTTGTTGAAGGGGGATTTGTATGTGCATGTTAAAGTTTTGATTTCACTGGGATCTTCAGAGATTTGTAATGAAGTCCTGCTGTTAGTGCTATTAGCAGTAGGTCTGGAGAGCCATACATGACATTTGCTGTATTATGCCTTAGGGCCTCTGTGAGAGGCCAGCTCTCTCATCTGGAAGAGATATTCTGATCAATGGTGAGTAAGACTGATTCATAAAGTGAACCCTTAATAAGTAGAAAAGGAATTCTCCCAAAATACTGGCAGAAGAGAAGAATGCGGGTGAACACAAGCAAGAGTCGGCACAGGCTTTAGCAGTCTCATGTCTACTCTCACAAATTTCAGCTTTTTCATTTTGTCTTTCTCCCTTGAGTTGCACATGCAATTTCATCAAAGATGGAAGTTTTGTCTCAGAATTTACACAGCAATAAATCAGGTGGACTAAAATTAGAACAGAAAACCGCAAAACACAACAAAAGAAATAACAATCAACAACAACAAAAGGAAAACAGGTTGACTACAACTACTTTAAACATCGTAGCTCTTACAAAATGATGATTAATATCTTTAGCTCTGGTAACATCCAAGGAAACATGGTGTTTATCTTTGATATACTGGTAGTTTTTTATTATGTTTCCAAGGCTTTTGTCTATGGAAAGTCTACTGAGAGTGAAGATCTCCAACAGAGTGGAATGACTCATTTGGCACAAAATAAAATTAGACTAAACTAAACCAATGAGATTGAGCCAGTCTACATATCTTTCACCTCCATTCTGGCTCTGAAATTCTCCTTTATGTGTAGCTCCATAGAAATCTTACTCTGCGTTATACTGAATTCAGATAGGATTCAGCTATGCCACTTAACCAACTATTAGAGATGATGGGGAGTTGTTCTCTTTTTGTGAAAACTCAAAAATGTACAATTCTGCCTCATGACAGAAGAACACAGTGGTGACTACACACTCCTCTTGCCAGTAAAGTAATCCTCCCTCCAAATCATGCCTTCTCTTCAGGAAAGTTGTGACAGGCTAAAATACACTCCCTGACCATACCCCACACCTTGTTGATGAGAGCACTTCAGTATAGACTTGCTGCTGTGTAGGCTGATTTCTTGTGAATTGGGCCTTGGATGTGCATGCCTGGAGGTCATGTTAGGGCCACCAGCATCCAGCTGCCTTCTGCATAGCCATTCTACAAGGGGAATGCTGGCAGCTCTAAGGTAGAGCACTGACTGACAGAAGATCTTTCCTTAGGTTTTTGTTCTACACGTAAAGTTTAGAGGTTTTCCTCTGTTACAATTCTTTTCTCAAGCAGTTAATGAGCTGTAGTCAATTCTCTCCTCAACTATCACATACGGAAACTAAGTAAGCCAATATAAAAATAGAAGTCTTTCTATCTGTCTATCTATCTTCTCACTTTTCTAGTATTCATCTCTTTCTTGTATTTTTGTCACTTCTCAGTAACACTGAAGACAGATGGGAAATGTAGTTTCCTAAAGTCATTGCTGGTTAGATTGTCACTGAACTTGAAAGGACTTTATTGCAGCCCTCCTAAAAATTGTTACTCTTCAGTATTTTCCTAACCACCACCTTTTTGTGATGGTTGAATTTAAGAAGGAAATTGTCATTTTAAACAGTCTGTTTTTATAGCAACTTATCAAACAGTGGCCTTTAGCTGTTGTTTTGTGACAGCCACTCTATTAAAATCCTGATGTAAACAAGTGGAGAAGGTGAACTAGAAGTGCAGATATTTGCACAGCATTACTGTCAGGTAAAATTTTAAAGATAGGTTTTATGAACCCATTATTTGCAGTCAAGGCTTTTGACTACAGCATCTGAAATCATTTAAGTAGACAAAGTGTTTTGTCAAAACATACTGCTGGGAGTCAGTATGTAGCTTCTTTTTATGTAATTCAGTTTGGCTCTGTTGTTTGCATGAGAGAAGGATATCTAGCTGGACAGCAATACTGGAGCTGTGTATGATCACAATACGGTGACTTTCCACTGTAATTAATGGTAAATGCCTTTTGTTTTCATTTGGTGCCTAATGCATGCATAATTGTACTGTACATACAGACGTTCCAAGGGAGATGCTTGAGGGCTTCTAAGTACAAACAACAAAAAAACCCAAAGATTTTTACAGTTATCTTTGTAGGAGTGGGAGGTGCATAAGAATGTGTGTCTGCTTTAAAAGCACCAATCTCTGTGTTTTGCGCAGCATAGCATTTGAGAGAGATGGGCATTTTAAGGAATTAGAGTTATTGCTGCTCTTTCAGCCCTGAGCCCCCACCCAAGGTGATTCTGAACAGGACTGCCCTGTGCATGCTGGCTTGCTGTGGTCCTCTGAGGAGCTGTACAAGGGCAGCACTATTAGAGTACAGTACATGCTAGCAAACCTCTCTTCACCCCATAAACCACTCTGAAATTGCTGAGATTGTCTGCAAGTTAGGCAGCTTTCTGAAAAACACAGCCTAGACATTCACCAAATATTTGCCCAACCACTTTAGAAACTATCTGATCTTCACATCTCCAGCTCCACTACTTCATCTAGAGCAGCAACAGCAGCACTGAATGTGACTAGGGAGTTAACCAGAAGTTCACAAACCTGATGCTGTTTGCTGGGGTTATCCTGAGATACGAGGCAGTACCCCTTAAATGTGAACTACAGTTATTTCATATGAATTATCATTTTGCCAAGCCATACCTTACAGTGTTTTTCATTTTAATTTTGATTGAAACCAGAATTTCTCCAAAAGACCTGTATAGTTTCAAATGTAATTTCCAAACTTACTTCACTTAGATACTGCTATCAATTGAAACCATGATGACAGGAGGAGGAAAGGCATTTAGCTCCTCACACAGAAATAACATACCATTTTGAGGTGTAAACCACACAGTTTTAAATAAGCTAAAGTAATAAAGCTGCAAGACATGAAGACCAGCTCTTCTCCGTTAGCATATTGGCAGAACATTAGTAGATAAATGGAGAAATCTGCAAAGATAACGAGAAGAAGAAAGCATTTGTCAGGCAGTAGCAATGATGAGTGTAAGAGGAGTAAGACAAACAGCGCAAAAGTTGTCAGATAAAAAGTCAGCAACTTCCTGCAGTAAGATTATATGTCTTTTAGCAAGTCCTTTCCATCCAGATTTTCCTTTTAGAACTTTATTTTGATCTGCTACACATCAAAGCCAGATAAATTATGTAAAATGCTCAGGCATCCTTTGCCCAGACATAATTCTACATCTGTGCACATAAATAAGATCATTTAACTAGTTATTACATAGAATAGAGATCGAGAAAGCTAACAAAAGGAAGAAAGCCACAATCACCGATGTATATAACCAAGAGCTGTCAACACAACCATTTAATACCACTGTAGCAGCATCAGTTAATGAAGCGATTAGAACAGTCTAGTACTGTGTATATGATTTATTTGAAGATAACTCCTACCTTAGCATAGCATCTAGCTGCAAAGATGGTGCTGCTGTAACAGTACACTCCACATAGGTCACCAGAAATCTCTTATCAGTTGATCTCAGTTGAGCCACAGAGCTGTAATATTCATGTATTTGTAGTACACTTTTCAGTTCAGTACTTCTTTCATTTCAAAATTAGTCCTGGTTACACCATTTAATCTACGTTGTTTTCTAAGCCAATTACTTGGTGCGATATGATGGCTTTTAGTATACCAGCCTGAAGTTCTGCTCTGCCACAGCTGCAGAAAGGGCACTGAAATGGCATGCCACCAGCCTAGCTCTGTTTGGCCCTGATCCAGCAAATCACTTAAACACCTGTTCAACTTAAAGCATATGAGTAATCCCATAGAAGACAAGATTATAAATTCTTTGAACAAGTTCCTGCCTAGACTCGTAAGCTCTGAAAACAGAAGGGAACATCCAAACATCTTGTCTGACCTCTTGTATACCACACAATTTCCTTCAGTTTTGTCTTGCTCTTACTTTCTTAGGAGAAAAAAATCCAGCTCTAACGCTTAAATTTTTGATCATGGAGAAACTACCACACTTCTGCATAATTTTTTCAATAATTAACAATCCTTGCCAGGAAAAGATATACTTTTTTTCAATCAAGATTTTACAAGCTCCTTTGGATTCACTGAATACTGTTGTCTTTTTATTAATCAGACTGAAGAGGCAGAGATTATCACATTTCTGTTTCATATACACACTTAAGGACTGCAATTAAATCAGTGCTTAATTTTTACTTTGATGAATTGAGACTGCGCATTTTGAGTTTCCCAGTATACAATAGATTATTTGTCTTCTAATCATACTCCTGTCCCTTCTCAGATCCTTCTTGTGTTCTGCATCTCTACAAATCTGGTTTCTGGAACAAGACAAGGTATTTCCAGAGAGGTCATTGCCTCACCTAAAAGGCAGTGGAGATTCCTGCTTATAGACCTGTTTTTCTTCAACAAGTGTAAGGTGGGATCTTTTGGCTCAGGTTCACACTAACAATTTTCACAGAAGTGACAAATCATGCTTCACCTTCCAGCCAATTTTTTCACTGTAACTTTTCCTGGATAAGTACACTCTTCTTGATGCATCCCCACACATACTTTTTTGTACCTCGTTGTATGATCTTACCTTCACTGAAATGCAATTTGGTTGTGCCTAACTCAATTGTTCTCAATGTATCCTTTAAAAATTTTCGTTATTCCTTAATCTCTTATTTATATGTTGCATTCGTAGTCTTAGCGATGTCTACAACTTGTGATGATTTTCTTCTACACCATGAATTAAGATAAAAACAGATTAACAACTCACTAGAAATATGTGTAGTCAGTGGACAGCTCACTATTTGCAACTACATTTTTAAGAACAATGTCACGTTTAATATATTTAGTATGTACCATATTGATCTTGTAATGTTCAAGTTTTGTAATAAGATGTTTCATGAAATCAAATCAAATTTCACATAAAAACTATTTCTCTCTACATTTGTATAACATTCTAAAGTTCTCATCAATATATGTCAAATTACTCTGACAAGATCTAGGTTTTATTAACCCTTATTGATTTGCTTAAATTATGTCATTCTTCTTGCATAATATTACAATCTCAATATCATGTTAATATCTGCTTGTAGCTACCATCCATATACAAGCACAAAATGCAATACAATAATTATTTATATATTATTATTGTAAAAGTTTGTGATAGAAGTTTGGAGAACAAGATAGTAGATACACAGTTGTGAAGAAAGAGCCCTGGACTGACAAGACAGAATATTCACCTCGGGAACTTCAACTTCTCAGAGGTGAGAAAAGGTTGGGAAAAAAAGAAGAGAAAAAAGCTGTCTCTAAGGGAGAAAAGAAAGGATTTAAAATGTTATTTTAATGAAGAAGGAAAAACGGTAAGGAGAGGAAAAAAATCAGCTATCAAAGATGCTCAGAAAGACCATAGAACAAAGCAGAGTGGGGGTTGTTAGAGATGACAGAAGAATATTCAAGGTACTTGTAATGCTAAATAGAGGACTCCAGGTTGAAGGATGAGTGACAGAAAGCAGAACACAAGAGCAAGGCAGTAACCTTGTGTAAGCACTAGTTCTGTGTAACTAAATACTAATCATAGTTAATCATTGGTATACACAGGAGAAACAGAAGCCATGCACATAGAGAATGCAATCTCATGAAATCTACCCACGGAAGTGACCCTGTCTACTATTTCAGCCTCCTTTCAGGAACCCTAGCCATAGACAAACAGGGAGTGATGCCAAAACTGGCTGGTGCCATTGACAAATACAAGAAAGTACTGGAAGTTGGCACAGTGGGCATTTTCAGCTAAATCTGGTTTCTCTTTTCCCAGAGAAGAGTACTTAAAAAAATGGAAAAAAGTAGTCTTTGGAGAAGGACACTTTTAACAAGATCTTTTCTGTTTGCTTCATTCCCCTGTGAGGGTTCAGAGCACTGGAATTTCTGTAGGCCTCTGTTTGAAAATAAGCAGCTAATGAAAAGGTATGTGCATGGCTTACTACCCTAAACTAGTCCTCTTAGAATATCCTGGGATTTGCCAAAGCACTAAATGACGTTGGCATAGAACACTTTAAGGGAAAAGTCACCTTTATTCTTTGCTTTTCAGTATTTAGAAATGTAGCTTCAGTTTCCTTTGTGTTTTTTGTATGAAAGAAATTCATTTTGAATAGAGATGGGTCCATTTCTTTAGTTTTGATCTCAATGGATACCGAAGCTGGACTGCTGCGCCTTCCAACTCTTGCAATTTCTAGGGGAAGAGAGGGCAGCCAGGTTTAGATGAAGGGGACTGAGCAATAGCAAAAAAAAAAAAATGCTTAACACGGAGAATCTCAGTTTCTGAGACTAGCAGTGTTAATGTAATGCTTTGCTATTTCTATGAGAACTAGATACAATTAGAACTTTGCTGACAGTCTAGGCTACCTTATTTATTTCCAAGTCAACAAAATTCCATGCTTCAGTGAACCTTCTAAACAGCCATTGTAACACATGAGTCTATTGTGTGCCTCTTGAAGACAAACCCATTCAGATGCCCACGTTTAGGCAGAACATTGCAGACACTTGATGCCAGAGAACGTGTGCTACTCAATGGAGAACATGATCCTTGGAGATCACAGGTAAGCCTCATTTTCCGTATGCTAGCTCTGACTATAGCGATTTTTTTTGGTCATAATGGTTTTTCAGATACATGGTAGAAGCACAAAAAGCCACTGCTGTTCAGGGAAGTTCTGCATGTGCTCAGACAGCTTTTCTTCCTCCACTTTGGATCTATTCCATCCCCAGTGGTAAAGCATACTGTGGAATTCTATGATGATAGGAGCAGTCAATACCTTTGTGAGAATAGAGAGCTCTCTTTATCAATGTATGCCTTTAGTTCAATAAACTAGGTCTAATTTTCCACTGAGGGATCTAAAAACAGCAGAGAACTTTTGCATGGTACAATGTTAATCTTTTTAGCTAAAGGTTTGCTTGACTGTAGTGAGTTTTCTCCCTATTCTAGCATTGGGGGTAGGATTTCCATAATCTGTGTTTTAAAGTAAGTGATACTGTGTTTGTAATCAAAATAGTGTTCTATTGCATGTCAGTACTTGATGCCTAATTAAATAAACAAAAGTTTAATCCAAATTAGAAAGAGAGGAGAGAGAGAAAGAGAATAACCATTAGAATACTGTAGAGATGAGAATCTTGGCAACAGTAAATGAACAGAAACACTTTGGGAACCTGCTAAGCAAGTATACACAATAGATTTTTTTATCCCAAGTATCTCTAAGAAATTAAGATTTTCCCAATGTTTTTTAAAATGAGTCATCTCTTCCTGCTTTATCTTTGCAATGGTATGAGTCTGTGAGAGAGCAATTCTTTTGTACCTGATGTTGAAATTTATCCTGTATGTCTTGCATCATTACTGCCTATTGACTGCAGCAGAGAAAAAGACATTTTAAGAAAATATGTTTCAACGACAGAGCAAAATAAACAGTGGAACATACAACCAATAATTCATTAAATAAAAAGTCCAAGCTTTTATCTGGCTCTTCAAACACATTTTAGGCACTTCAACAAGATTAGAAAAACACTTTTATGCCAAAAAAGAAGCTCCTTTAATCACTTCTCTTCTAAGAAGATACCTGCATGAAAAGAAGAGAATTAACCTCTCTGCTGCCACTACTCCCTTGGCTGCAAAAAAAATAAAAAAAAGAAAGAAAAAAGCATTTGTAAAATTTCTAATCCATTTGGTTCTGTCAGATGGAAACAGTTATGTTTTAAAAAGCATTAATCATACAGGAAGATATTTTCAAACATATATCTTGCTGAGAAATTCTTGGTGAACACCAGATTATAATGTTCCATTCTAATGGAACAGTAAGCATCCCAATTTTTGCAAATACTAGAAATAAGACCAGTCCATCATCATTGTTATAGTTTAATACTACTTTTGGTTTGTTTTTTTTTAGTTCTATTTACCATACTGCAGTAAAGGGAAAGCAGGGAGAGAGAAATATTCAAAAACTTTTAGCAGTTTAGAAAGTAAATGAAGGCAAGAGAGAAGAGATGAACTCCATCAAATGCATGCTTCTTGATTGACTGTATGTATTGCACTGAACTGAATACAATAGTTAAATTATGTGGACAAAACCAAAAGCAAGGCAATATATATATATATATAAACCATCTAGCATATGCAAGTGCATCTTACAATGCAGTGAGATCATACAGCTGTTAAGTGATTTTGCTGGGACTCTCTTCAGGATCATTTAAAAGCCTGAATGTCAAGCAAAGTCTTCTACAGACTGGATATCTCTGCCCCATTCCCTGCCTTTTCCTCTGTCCTCAAACATGGCCAAAGTCAGCCTCTTGCAGATGAGAAGTTCAGCTGTTGTACCATCCCCTTTCATTCCTCAGTGAGAAAGGGTTGGTGCTAATGCGGAAAGTGAAAGCATACTTCTGGACCACCCTCTCCTGCTGCTGCCAGGTGGTCTTACTGTCTCAGAACAGAAAGCACCTGTGGTTTGTTTTTGTTTTGTTTTAGTGTTGTTTTTTTTTTTGTTTTGTTTTGGTTTTTTTGGTTGTTGTTGTTTGTAAGGCCTGCTTGCACAGACTGGCATAGGTTAAAAATAATAGCCTCAGGACTGTCTATACCACATCTTTCCTGAAAGGCAAAAGTTCCTTAAAATTTTTGTCATCCTTTTGGAATTACCCTGCACTTCTTGATCCCAAAATACAGTGAAGTAAGACTACGTTTTAGTCTGTTCAGACCCATCAGCCCTGCCTTCACATCACAGCAGGTATCCTTCTCATTTTTGGTTTCTCCAGACAGTAGGAAAACTGGATACTTCACTGACATGATAGGCATGCTTTTGATGGGGTCCTACTACTATTGTGTCCAACAAGTCAAGACAGTGCAGTTAAGGAAGATGTTTTTGTGAAAATGATAGAATATGTGTTCAAGGGCAGTGAATAAGTTCCCTTTCAATAGAAGCGCACACTGTGTCCAGGAACAGTCAAAAGGGTTAAAATACAATCTTTCCAGATAAGTTTCTAGCCATATCAGGCTCAAAAAGTCAAAAGATTTGAAAGCTATTAGTACTTCTGTAGATCATCCTCTTCCAGACACTTTTTTTTTTTTTCCCCTTTAACTGACAGGTTGCAGTTAAAAATTAAAGCAAAAAGAGGCCCTCTTTTTGCTACATACTTTTAATGGAACTGAAGCCAAAATAAGTCAGACTAAATTATGGGAGTAAATGACCTCCCGGGAAGCATAATACCAAATTCCAAAGAACTGTAAAGAGTTTCCTTTGATCTTTTTAGCTTCACAGCCTGAAATTCAAAATCTGTATTTAATTTTAGATTGCATATGCCAGCTTTTAAGTTTCCTTTCTAACATGATATATCATTTTAAATGATAGGACACCTTTAACTTGTATTTCTTGAAAATGCTGACTATCCTTTCTTTATTCTTTTACACTATAAAAACAGATATAAATATTACTAATTGCAAAAATAATTTGGGGTTGGGTGCTGTAATGGATAAACCATTGACCTTCACTTAAGAGACTGTGCCTTCAAGCTCAACCTGAGTTTCTAAGTGAAATGACTTTGATCTGAGACAGAAGTAACTTCAGTTCAGTGCCCTAGAGGATATAGATCTAGAAAAAAGACAAGCTGTGCACTTCACTATATATTCCTGTTATAATTTAAGAGGTAGACAAAGGATGCTATTTTTCAAATGCAGCATAAAGGGCCCGTTTCTTTCTATGGCCAGAGTTACCCTGCAAGGACTGTGTTTGTAAACCAGAAATCTCAAAAGGCACAACAAGCTGCATTAGCTCTTGGCTGGAGAATTCTCTAACCCATGCACTTCAACATAGACTTTAGATGTGGGAAGCTGCAATAATGTCCCTCTTGAGTCCAGAAGAGAGCCACAGAGGTCTTTATGCAATACACAGCATGAAAGAAGGCACCTTTCTTGATGAAAAGTAGATGGCAGCAGGTTGGTTGGATGCATAACATGCAAGAATGGCTGCTAACCTATGAACTTGTACTGGAAAAGCCCTAGGAAGAGTTCTTACATACAATGTTTTGTTCTGTGTCTGTCTGATGACTGGTCAAACAAGGGCATAAATATAGCTCAGAAATTTACAGTACAATAATGTTACAACTTACATCCTGGGGGAATAATTTATAATGCATAATTTATCCACTGAATTTAGTTTCTTCTACTAATAAAGCATCTACAAACTGGTCCTGACTTCCTCACACTTGCTCTATTTTCCAAGTCAATCAGTGTTAGTTTTTAGGCTGAGGGAATGATTTATAGAAGTCCTCTTGTATTATTTGGAGCTATAGTGAGATTATTTAAACTATACTGAGATAGCTCCAAATTATTTAGTTTAGGGTTGGGGTTTTTTTGTTTGTTTGTTTGTTTGTTTTTTTCATTTTTCAGATTGTGAAAATCAATCAACCAACCAATTTATTTACCACAGCACTTCCTGTATGGAAATATCTGGAATGAATGTAGCATTTTCTTTCCCATGAACCATAATAAGGGGCTCCACATTTTCTACAATTCTGAAAGAGTGGAGAATTTTTTACTGTTTAAAAAAAAAAAGAAAAAAAAAAAAAGAAAAAAGAAAAAAGAAAAAAAAGCCCTTGAAGCAAGAGGTACAACTATACGGGGTTTGGGGTTAGTCACTATACATTCAAATCCAGACCTTATCTCAGCCCATCCCAGGCAGTAGTTGTTGCTACGTTTCTTCTTCCCAGTGAACTGCTGACATCCAATCATCCAGTTGGTTTCTGTAAAACAGAAGTATCAAGTAATTTTAAAATAGATGAAAATAGAAACACTTAAACAGAACAACGTAAAATTGGGTAGGGCATGTCTTTCATTCACTGACAAGGTAATATAGATTGACGTGCTTTGAGATTGTGGGTGCTATTTTGTAAGCTTTTTTATTCCCAGCCCAAGTGGAGCAATTAAAATATTTACAAATAACCTTCCTCTCCCCCTTCAACTAAGAAGTTTATTGGTGCTTATTTAACAGCAATCCTGTCTGCCACTCTTCTAAAGAGACAGACCAGAACAAACACAATCTGGAGAACATTGCCAATCTCAGCAATTTCTTGGGTTCCGTGCAGGCCATCAATAAAATTCTAAACTTCCCCAAAATAGGGAATGTCCAGGCCTCATTTATACCCATCCTTAATGCTTTAATGGATGTTATAATTTGTTGATTCAGGCTTTCTTATATCTAATATTACAACACCAGACAGGAATTACATAAAGGTTAACATTTACCAAGCAGAAATATATTTGTCATTATTATAATTAAAGAAAAAAAATTTTCTACAACAACAATAAAAACCATCCTCTAATTTCTGTGAGGAAAAAAAAAAAAAAAAAACTATGATAGAGAAACTCTAGATTCGGGAATCAGTAAGTGTTATATTATAATGAAAGATATACACCGTTATCTATTAATTTTGAACATGACATTTCATTCCCATGTAGAAAGTGTACAAATTCATTACAAATGCAAAAGCACATCTGTCCAATACTGCTGCGCATAAGCATTTTCATGAGCTTGATGGGTAGTTTTATGACCAGCTGAGAGAAGAAAACTGAGCTGAGGATCAGATAAGACTTCCCATGAAAGTGCCAGTAGTCATTTAAACTTAAGCAGACAAAGCATTCCAGAACACATTGTTTTTTAAAGTGAAAGTGTAGGAGATAGAGACAATCACATTTAAATTGTCTGACAGAAAGGCAAAGAGATGTTACATATATTTAAGTATGTACACATTAGCATATCAACAGATTTGACATTATTTCCCACAATTTCCTACCCCATCTACTGTGGTCTTGCATCTGGTACTCAGGTGATGTCATACCAGGGTTGGTCGCACTGCCTTCTCCCAAGGACACAGAGTGTCAGGGCTGACAGGCTTCCATTCATGATTTTCTTACTTCAAATCCACGCTCTTAAATAAAATAGGTACTGTGCTTTTAACAGCTTTATGAAAATAACTGCAGTAACTTTATGTCCTATTGGTGAATCTATGCGTTATGCAAAATATTTCCTTATAATTTTTACTCCTAATTTATGTCATTTTATTCATTTATTTAACTGTTACAAAAGGTTTTTGACAAACTGATGGATAAGACAGTGCTGAACAATCTTAGGATCTCACTGGCAGCCAAGGAGTCTTCTGCTTCATTACACAGAGGCATCAAACAATTTGGAGATGTAAAGAAACATGAAAGCATATGAACCACCATTTTCACTCTGAACTATTTCTCTCACATTTCTCAATCATTTTAAATTAAAAATTGGTAAATTCCTTCACTGTGAAGCATGTAAAATTTTACAGTTACATAATCTGATGCAGTGTCAGTCCATGACACTTTCATTATTCTATTTCTTTCTGACCTTGTTCTCGGTTTCATGTATGTAAATTAAGGGGAAGAACTGTCTCTCCTTTCGCAGTCGCAGAGTTATTTCGATCCTTCTCAGGATGGGAGTCTGCATGTTTGTACACATACCAATGTGACAGGGTTCCAAGCTTTACCACAACAACTTTTAGGTACTGTGATAATGCAAATAATAAAAAAGCCACTGTTGATTTATGTCCTTGTGCATGTGAGTGTCTAATTAGTATTCAGAAGACACTACTTTCAATTGGATACATGGATATATATTCTATGCCACATACGTGGTTCATACTGACAAATGTAAGTAATAGGCTTGTTTACTTGTTTGCATTTAATTTAAAAGAAAAAAGGCTTCTGATCATCCCTCTTTACAATTGTATCAAGTCATTGTCTCAGAAAACCCCCACATACATGTTCATTGAAATACATTCAAAGATAGGGCGTGATAAGTTGGACAGCCATTCTCTCCTTGTGGGGCTAATGTATCTCCCATTACCATTAAATTGTGTTATATGTGCATATTAAGGGAAGAATATTAGTGATTAATAACAACCTACATTTTCCAGTGTGCTGAACTCTTTCAGGAACTGGTGAAGGTCCCAGAAGCTAAACTGCACCTTAAATGCACATGTGTTGTACAGCATATCCTTAAGCAAACACAATGGTTTCAGTGATCGTTTCAAGGTCATTCCAGTGCTAACTTCTGACATACAACAATGTAGCTAAGTGTGCTTAAAAGTAGGAAAGCATATTAATTTCAAAGCTTACAAGTAGTGATGGCTGGTCTGTCCACAATTCCCAATTCAACCATTTTATACTCTAAGAAGAACTGAGGCTATTTTTTCCCTAGTTAATGATATTAACTAGTCATTTGTTCCTGAGAAAAGAAGGAAAAAGATGTGTGTTAGGCTTATAGTAACTTCAATTAGTTGTTAGCAAAAGATCTTATCCTGGTAGCAAAACCAGAAAAAAAAAATCTTTTAAATTAATTTCAAGATGCCTACATTTAGAGAATGGCATTGCTTTAACAGAGCTATGCAAATGAGTCCAATTTAGCATCTTGTATTCAGCTGGAAACCATTGCTAAATGATCGGGATAGCCAGTCACAGATATTAAAATGAATTATATCTAATCTGAATTTTAGTCACGCTACATTAACTAATAGAAAGTTATTAACATTTCAAGAGAAAAAAAGCTTTTGCCTGCAAAATTAACAGTGGCTGAGATGTGACCTGTGAGCCATGCAGCCTGATCACTGTAATGACAGTGTAATGGCATATTTACATTAAAATCTCTGCAGCTAATATGTGATTCAGAATTGGACGTTAAGTCGAGGATTATTTAGTCTGGCCTGTTGGCCTTTCTCTAAGTAGTTTTTTTTTTACTTCAATACAAATCTGAAACTTTTCATTTCATGACTATTTATGTGACTAGTTTCTATGGCTATGTCTCTCCATCTTTACATCAGCTACTTTATATGGTCAGCTTACTCTTTCATTTTCCCTTTCCTTTTTCCAACATATTTATCATTTTTTGTCGGCACGTAAAACTTTAAGAAACTCACATTAGTTACAAGCCAGCGGGGAAAAGGGAAATATTTTGCTACTTCATTTTTACTACTAACTTGCTTCAAAAGGCAGTATATTTTCATGTTTTCCTTCCTACACTTTTTAAATTCGCCTGGAAAAAATGGATAATTCAAAGACATCGTTATCTGGATAGAATAAAATGTGCAATTATGCAGTTATTCTTAGCAGTCAATGGCAACCTGACACAACTTCTCCTGCTACCAGTTCATTTGTACCAAAGCAAAGGCTTTAAAGTTATGGACGTAATAACATGGCAGTTGTATAATCTGTAGCATTTGTTAGATTTGTGACATATTTGCATATATGAATTTGTTTGCTTCTTTATCTAAGAAATACAGCATCATTTTAAGTTTAAAAAATAAAGAAGTGCAATGAAATTATTAAGAAAAAAATGGATAAATACACTCATTTAATAATAAGAGCATTCTTCACAACAAGTCCAGTGTAAAGATGAATTTGAAATTGGGCTTGTGATTATTTGTACAAAACAGGACATTTTCATAAGGACTCAAATTCCAAGTGGATCTTCAATTCTGAGAAAAAAAAAAAAAAAAAAAAAGGCAAATGCATTTTATTAAGGCAAGTTTGTATGGCTTTTTTTTGTAATTGTAGTATTTTTTTTTCCTTTTCTTTTTCCTTTAGATATGTGTTTCCTTACCATTTCCTATGCCCCTATAGGGAGATATTACTTTATTATATTGTTTGTTCGTGTACTTTACTTGTTTGTTTTTATTTTTAATGTAACTTCGCTAAAGTGCTAGAGCTAAAAGTAGTAATTAATGACTAAAGAAATATATCATACAAATTACAGACCCATGTATATATTTCCATACACCAGGCAAACATATAAATTCACAAGTTTTACAAAGTAGGCAATATGATTGTCCCATAATTAGGCCTTCAGTATGGTCAGTATTCCCACAGATTTTGCTGCTGCTTTTCTTTCAACTCTAAATGAACAAGTAAACACTTGTGTGACTCCACTTTTACACTGATTTGTTTTCTGTTTACAATAAATCTGTGTTGTGATTTTGCTTCAGCTCAGACGTATGTCATTCACATGACATGAATGTTATCTCACCTCCATTTCCCAATTAGAAAAAGAGAATTAATATGGGGAAATCTGTTTGACTGACAAGTATCTTTGTAGGTAGAGCTCTGTGCACAGATTCGTAATAAACACAGGTATAAATGCACAGCTTCACCATATTCCTGAAATCTTTATTGTGACTCATACAGTAAAAGCAGATTGAAGAAATAATTAGAAATTTGATCTAACATGGTAATTAGCTGAACTTCATTTGATATTTCTGAAATTATAACTGGTTTCTCATTCAGAATGCAAAAATGGCTCTGAGCAAGTCCTACAGATACTCTTCTTCATGGTCCCAGCTGGACCACAACTGCTTTACCCCTCATGGTCAGCTGATTCTGGTAGCAGCAGGACCAAAAACGCTTCCCAGATATTATGGGGCTACCACTGAGAATTTTCAAGTAAATGTTTCCTTTTATTATACTTTTCACTTAGTCAGGTATGTGGTAAAGCTGTAACTATGCTGCAGATCAGACAGGACAGATACCACTACTGAAAATCAGACCAGATCTCAAAAGATAAAGCCAGAGAATTTGCTTCAGCCATAGTTTAGATTAAGTTGTTTCTTTCACTCACAGTGATGTATGAACTCTTGCACCATCACCACTACCACACACTGGGGACCTGAAATACTCTCTCATGATTGCATTTGACTCTAAAAATCACGTTTTCCCATTTTGGTCAGAGATTTTTTTAATATAGACTGCGTGTAATAATTACTGTCATTAATATCACTAATTTGAACATTTGCTGCACAAATGCCAGAACCATTTTTTATACTTTTATTTCTACAATTGCCTCAGCGGTACTGTTGTATTTAAATTCAAAAGCCAGTTAATTAACTGGAAACATAAGGAACGTAAAAATGAAACTGCATAATCTTTGATATCCCAATTGACTAGCAGTATCTGTGGATAGTAAGAGAGTTTAGGAAGATAAGAGGGAGAAGTATCTAAACAGGAGTGAGCTGGATACTCAAAGATAGTTGCCTATGCTAACTATCTTCAAAGCTCTGAAGACAAAAAAATGGTGTGTCTCTAACAGCAGGTTTCATAAAATGGAATGAAAGTCAAGGGATGCTGAGCTTACTTTTGAGAGAGGAGACTAGAAGGATAAAGCCCTACTTAGGCCTGACATATTTCTAATGTTAAGTGGTTCTCAGAGAATCTCTCTGGAATGCTGTTTTCTAAACCTGGCAAAACAGGTCTCTGAGAATTCGGCAGAAAGAGTATCTCTCTCTCATTCAGTATTAGCTCCATCCTCAGAACCACCTTGTGAAAGCAGAGGTTTTCAGGGTGAAAACATTCCTTTTTATCACGCAGTGGCAGTTTGGCAGGAGAGGAGGCAGTTTGGTGGAGAGCCCACTTCTTTAGGAAAATGGCTAGATGGCCATACTTCATTAACAAAAACTTCTCAGAAGTCAAGTGCTGATCTACCAGTTACTGCTGATCCCCTACCTATGAGGTATCACTGTCAATAAACAAGCTGCCACCAAAATATTTTTTTTCTGGATGTTTTTCTTTGTATTAGACAAGCTCATGCACTTACTGCTTTCCTTCAGGTGCTTCATTGCTACATACCAAAAACAGGCCAACAGACAACATTGTTCTTTGCCTTTGTTATGAGTAAGAAAGATACAAAATTAGATCAGCTTTTGAGATGTGGGCTTAGCTATTTGAATATCTGCAATCTTTGGTGACGAAATAGTGAAGGGTGCTTACAAACATAAGAGAGCTATACTCCATTCTGAAAAGTTCACAAACGTTGTCTATCTCCCTACTGTCAGCAGTACCTGGAAAACGAGACTGCCATTAAATATCTGTATTATCATAGTCTACCGTGGTACAGGTAAATCCAGGTTTTTCAAGATTATCTGCAAAGAGACGTAATCTGAAGATATCAAAAGCTCTAATTTTCAATAAATGAACTGAGTCTCTAATAGACCCCTTTTGAAACCATTTTTGCATCTTACAGGATTCATTCCAGAATTATTTTTTTCTCTTTAACTCCCTTTTTCCATTATTGGTCTCCAAGACTTGCTATATTTTTTTTAAAATAATATTTATTGATTATGAGGTCTACCCACCATTCTGAACAGCCTCCATTCTTTATCTGCACATCTCTCCCTTATTCATCTCCATGACTTTCCTGACATTATGTCGTATACATGAAATAATCTTTCTGAAAAGTCAAGCAAACAACCCAAGCACGTAAAGCAAATGAACAGCTCACCTTCCAGACCTTTACTAAGCCTAATTCACATTCTGAAGCTTACAAAGTCTGCATTACTCTAAATATGAAGAAACTTTAGATCACAAGCAATGGTCAACGCTAAGCAGTACACACACAACTCTGTGTAGCCATGAATGGTCTACACCATTACCAATGCTTTTTTTCCTTTTGGCTAGTTCCTCAGCTGCTTTGTCTTTTTTGTTTGTTTTTAAAACTGAAATTTCTTTCAGACATGCTCTATCAGATTCTATCAGGTCCTTGGCCTGATTGCTGGCTTTTACTGTCCTACAGCCATATATAAAAAAATTGGCCAAAAACATGCTCAGATATTGTCCTTATATTACACAAATCTTGCAATTTAGTTTCCTACTGGCTATTCCTTAATTCTGTTTTTCTGTTTTGACACTCAATACCTGGGCAAAAATACCATAATTATTTAAGCTACATGACAAGGAGAATTTCTCCTAAATCATGCAGCCAAGCAGATGGAATCATCGTCAACATGTGAAAAAGTAATAATCTACACGTTAAGAAATGCCTTATAACAATTGTGGACTAGACTTAACAAAAAAAAAAAAAAAAAAAAAAGAGGGACACCAATTACTTGAAAGTATGTGTTAACAAACTATTCACTTAAATATCATTCTAAATCCTTTTTGGCTTTCTGTGCCGCCACTGTAGCCACGTGAAACATAGCTTCTGCCCTCAAGGGATTATAATTTCTGTAGATAATACGAGAATTCAAATAAGAGAAGAGAAAGATGAAAATCATCTGGGAAAAAGTGCTGTTATGTGCACTTCATCCTAAGATCAATGCTGGCATCTTTTCTTTCAAATCAGATGAGGAAGAAGAGGTCAGTCAGGAAGTGTGCAAGCATGTAAGGAACAAAACCTTTTGTTCCTGGGCCTCAGTGAGAAGCTATCTCTTATAGCCAAGAACTTGGCCTGATAGAGCTGTAGGAAAGAAGGGATACGAGCAAGCCATCAAGCCACATAACTTCCATCTGACAGGCTCTTCTGCTTTGGAAAGCCTACAGCAACTACCAACAGGAACCAGACCAAACATCCACATGCTTTTAAACAAAGAGTTATAGGAAGGTTATAAGGTTATAGGTTATAAGCAAACACCCAAAAGAAAATTAAAGTGTATGCCAAAAGCTTGGAAAGATAATGTTCAGTAAAAATGAATTTTTAGTCCTAAATAGTTGTAAATAGTCAATGAAAATAGAGATGTTATAATTATGAGACAAACAAGAGAGTCTGGCAGAGCAGATTATAACACCAAAAGGAATAGATAGAAAGCTTACCCACATCCTGGACTTGCTGCATAACTGCTAAAGAGAGATCTCCAGAAGAGATCTTTTCCCAGAGGTAGCCAGCTCTTAAATGGGTATAGGAGAGGTGCAGCCAGGCTCCACTCCTTCCAGCAGCGCAGGTAAATTGCCTTCACCTGTGCTCTGTGTCTGACTCAGGTGATCAATCAGAGGTTCAGGCTATGATTTGGCAGTTCCCATACAGTCCCCTTCCATATTACTGAGAAAACATTTGCATCCAGAAGTCTGAATTCAGAAAATAAGTGTATATACATCTATATGTATCAAAATAGTAAAAATAAAGAACATCCATGTTTTGCTCCCTGAAGTGCTAACTCTAGAATCCTTTCTACTGAAGCAAACTTTTGAGGATGATTCCTGACAACAGCCTCTGATTTGCCTTCCAGGTCATGCTGCATTTCCCCTCTGTCTGTACACAGCATTTGTAATTACTAGTTATATTGAGATCTTGGCTGGTCAAGGAATATAGCCATTCTAAGCAAGCACATGGAAGTGACTAAACTTAACTAAGGGCATGTATGCTTGAATATTAAATAAGTAAGTGTACCACTAACACTTATGTAACATAAAGGTTCTGGTGGTCTTTTAGCATAATCATAATACATTTGATTTACTTATATCACTTCAGACTTAAGAAGCACAAGATAAAGAACAGATAGAATAAAATAAAATTAAGTACATTCTGACTAATAACCTATTGGTTCTGCAAAATATAGTTTAAATGTGAATTTCTAATACTGATCAGCTAAGTATCTCATACAGTATTTAATTTTTCTGGTATTGAGTTGTGACCATTCATATATCACTGGGCAGACAATGATGAAAAATACAAACTTTCGAGTTTAAATTTTCTTTAAAAATTCAGTGTGACCTTTACAAGGACACTTCATGTAAAACTAACTCACATTTCAGTCCTAAAATGTTAATGCACTACAAGGTTAATTGCTCCTATTAATCCATGAAACAAGAACTGTATGTCCTTTCTTATATTAACCATTATTTACTTTTTTCATTCTTCCAACCAAAGCCCACAAGCTCCTGTCTTTGTTACAAAAACTAACAAAATGTTAGTTTGATAGATCTCACACAAGTTTACTGGCTTCCATTTGCGTGCCTCCACAAGTTCTAAAAGTCTTGGAATAAAAAAAACATGCATCAAACAGGGAGGTCAGCAGTTTGTTGCGATCACTTGCTGGAGCAGTTCAAGGAGCTTCTTTAGTTAAAAAAATATTTCTTTTTTTTCCCCATGTCTGTGATTTGAGAACAAGAGAGGAGATTTTATGTGCATATATAGCAATGGTAAGCAGCTGTAAAAACGTCCCACCCTAAAGATTGGTGAATATATGTTTCATTAACACAAGCACATCTGAAAGACATTTGACACTTTGGAAGACCAACTATAGTTCTTTAAAATGCCTCAGCTGAAATTCTTCAGATTATGGTCTTTAATGGCCATCCAAGGAGCCTTAATTGCCTTCTCGATTTGAAAATATATAAAACCTGTCCTTCTGACTATATTTGACTGCAGCCTAGTTTACTTTGCTAGAATATTTGGAAATGCTCTTATGTAAGCCAATCAGCAACATTTAAAAAGCCCTTCTGAAACCTTTTGCCTCTATCCTCTTTATTGTGGTTGGTTTTTTTTGTTTGTTTGTTTTCTTTCTTTTTTTTAGCTCACAAAACTAATCAGGGAGAATGGTCACTGATTTGTGACTTTAAAGAATCGTCCGTACACATGAGTACCAAATAATTAATAACAACAGAATAAATAATTTGTGACTATCCCATGCCATTATCAGTGAATGGCTTTGAAGAATGGTCACATCTGTATGCAGTTACAATGCAAAGAAATCCAGAAGCTGAACTAAGTGGATAACTGTTTCCTGCAAATAACGTTTCTAAGTACTTCTAGCTCTAACACAACCCTGGATGAAGGCCATCCCAATGCTTGTAAAGAAAGAGCTCTCCTCCAATAGGGTACCTATCAGTAGTACAGGTGGAGGGCCCTACAGGATGCTTGTCTCACACCCCTGGAGAAAAGATTGGCCTCCACTAATACATGTGGTAGCACTGAGGGCAGGCAGGAAGGTTTCCATGCAGACTCAGGTAAGCTCAAAGGCTTTTGTCCACTCAGAATGAAAAGTACATTGTACTTGACAATAAACCTGCCATTTGAAACCTCAGGGGTTTTAATCTTATAAATAATAGAGTTCAGAGAAGAAGGGTTTGCCAGTCTGCATAGCTCTGCCTGGAATTCAGATTTATGTAATGCACTTATAAGAACACAGTGCTGAAATGCGTGTAAGTGTTAGGGCATTTGAGATTCAGAGACTATATTGCACAAAAATATGCAACAGAACACTAATATTTCTCTCTGCTGTGCTATTTTCCTCTGCTGCCAGGAGAACATCCATCATTCAATGGCACATCAGAGACAGCCAATCTAGTGCATGCAGTGACATGGATTTTTACTTTCTACTGAAGATCCTGTAAGTAGGTATGATGTCCACATCTGAGAAAACTATTTCTCAGATAAAATGAGCCTAAAATTTACAAACATTGTTGAACACGTACAATAAAATATTTCCATTTATTAGGACTGATAAAAACTCTTTCTTTGAATATGCCAGCCTACATAGAATCATAGTATGGCTTAGGTTGAAAGGAACCTTAAACATCATCTAATTCCACCATCCTGTCAAGGGCTGGTTGCCACTCACCAGATCAGGCTGCCCAGGGCCCCACCTGACTGGCTTTGAGCATCTCCAATGATGGTGCATCTATAGGTTCTCTGGGCAGCCTGTGTCACTGCCTCACTGCTCTCACAATAAAGAATTTCCCCCTAGCATCTAACCAGAATTTCCCCTCCTTTAGTTTAAAGCCATTCCTTCTTGTCTGATCACTATCAGACCACATAAAAATTCCTCTTGTTTATATGTACTGTACTCAAGCACTGGAAGGCAGCAATGAGATCTCCCCAGAGTGTTCTCTCATCCAAGCTAAACAAACCCAACTCCTTCAACCTTTCTTCATAACAGAGGTGCTTTAGCCCTCTGAGCCCTCGGTTTGGCCAGGAGGTCCTTGCTCAGCCATGCTGATTTCCTGCCTCCTCTACTTGATTTCTCATGCTGGAGAAATGATTAGTTTATTTATAAAGTATATAGAAATAACTATTTTAAACTAAGAAAAGGAAAGAAACAGATTTTGACTTGCTTCTCTCTGGGCATCAGCAGAAAAGTTGCAGTAGTTCTACTGCAAAACAAACCCATACCTCAAATACATTCATGCATCAGAAAGAAAAATAAAATCCTACCATTTTTTAATGCAAAAAGAAAAGATGTGAAAAAGTAGCAGGACAAAAAAGAATGTATCAAATGCATTGTGGTGTATCTTTGTCTGGCAAGTGCATTCAGGAAATTGGGAGCGTTTCTTTGCACTTTCCACTTATAATGTCCAGAATATTAAAATGGCAAGCATGAAGCTGTCAGCAGATGCAGTTTCACTATGGGGATGTTATCACACGCAGCTTTGCTGTGTTATTCATTGCTTGCAGCTCTTCCAATCAGATAACCTTAGCAAACATGGTGCTGTCCATTGCCAGATGTGGTACATGCTATGCAGCATCTAGTTTTTGATGGACTAAAATGGATCTGTGAATTCTTCTCTTTATCAACCATCAGACGCACTATGAGATTCACAATGAGTATCTGGAAGTGTGCTGTCAAGTGCCAATTAGTGATGTTGCTGACCCAAAAGATAAAGAAGATCATAGAAGAAGCAGCCCAGTATAATTCTACACTCCAGTGTCCTTAAAGGAGACTCTCGTTTGTGAATGTACTCCTGCAGATGAAAGGGCAACAGGAGGTCAGTGGTTCCTGTCTTCAACAGTCTTCTACAATCTTATAATGAATTGTAAATAGAATCACTATCAACCTGCTCTTCCTGCACTGGAAATCAGTGTGAATGGTTTAGGAAAGCCAAACACTGATGATATTGTCTCTCAAGCTGAAGGCTACACTCTTTCCTCTGTGCTCCTCACAGTGTGTGAGTCCATCTGGCAGGAGGTCACCCTTGGCTCCTGCAGTGCCCTATTTGGCTTGGTGTGTTATTCCACTTCCCCATCACCATGTGGTAAAGCCACTCCACACAGCTACTGTGCTGGGAACCTGAGCACTTAATCATTTGAAGACAATTTGAAGATTCATGAATCAATGGAAATGTCTGCCTTCTTCTCAGAACAATTCTCAGCACCATTTGGCAAAATGTTATTATTATCATTTAATAAGGTTTTATCATGAGGTATCCCTAATTTCAGAATTTTAAATGATTTTATAAAATCAAAAGCATAATTTCATGCCCAGATGATTGCCAGCTTGAACTGCAAAATAAAAATCCCTTCTCAGAAATGCAATGTCACTAGCATGTGTAGAGAACATCTGACAATTTTGGATTTTAAGACCAGGCCTTTCCATCTAAGGATTAATGTATGCAGTAGTCACTGTAGGTGCAATATATTATTAATTAGCATATACAAAGCTTATTTATATTAAAAAAGCATGCTTAGTGAAAGAGACATAATTCCTGTTATTACCATCCCAAATGGCAGAAAACAAATATTGTATATAAAATTAATAAAAAATACAGGACAATACAGCAGCAAATTTGGAGTATATTTGTGTTCTACACTTGTGATTTTATACAGGACTGCTATTTTTAATGGTAGATTATGTGTGCCACTAGTATTTTTCTGAGGATACCCCTATACTTGAATGGCAATATTCCAAAAGAGCAGTTCTGGAGAAATGTGTTGTATAGATCTGTGACACTTATGCTACACAGCTATTGTATATTCAATAGATTTATGACTTTTTAAAGTATGTATGCACAGAGGAGGTAAAAATTACTTCAGATGTTCCCAGGCAACCATTAGACGGTGCAGTGCTTTCCTGCACACCACAAAGCCACTGAACAGTTTGCTACCAAACCAGTCACGTTTCAGAGTCCACTGAAGTTGTGACACCTCCACACTACTGCAGAAGTTCAAATACCATTGAAAGCACGTGTCAAACAAACATTAAACAAAGTCAACCAAATTCTGAGCTCATTCATGTATTGGGTTTTATGGCAGCATAACAGAAGCCTGTCAGTAAAGCAGGGAAGACCAGATGAAACTGTAAAACTATCTCCCTGTGTTATAATTTAGCATAGTAGCAGAACTATTCTCTGGGAGATGCCAGGCAATAAGAGGACAAGTCGCAACAACAAAGGCATTCCTAACCAGTGTGAACATTTGTCAAGGTATGGAAACAATTTACAATGTTTTCAGAATCGTGGTTCAGGTCAGTTCATTTTTATACTCTCCCATATGGTTCTGCTCCTTCTATTTCCAGAGTGAACCCTATTTATCTGGACGGTTGCTGTAGAAAATATATTGTTTGCAGAGAAAGTGAGAGTCATCAATAAAGAAAACTTCTCAAGATAGGTATATTGAGTATGTGCATTGGTTTGATCTGACAAGAGAAGAAAATGGCAAACAACTTGTTTTCTGCTTGAGAGGTATCTGAGAGCAGAGCACCGGTCAGACTGTATTGTGCCTTCTGGAGGCTCAGCAATAAAGGGACAGTTTGGGTGGAGAGTGCAAACAGAAATGGCTTTCAGTTACATTTTCCCCTTTAGAAAACTGAGCCTACCAGCATACTAAATAGTATTTGCACCACATTTTCACTTCTCCCCAACTCTGCAAACAGAGATCAGTTCAACTCTCCTGTGCGTAATCAAGAGCATAGACCACTCCTTGTGCATGGATCTGCTGTCCCTGAAGCTGGAAATACATCCCATTCTCTATGCCAAAATAGCCATGTCATACCACTTCTTAAGAGTCTGGCCTCCCCTCACCATAAAAAAAAAAACACAAAAACACACACATAAAAAAACATTAAGAAATGTTCCTCCTGTTCCTAAGAGTAGATACAACAAAAAAACACAAAAGCTCATACAGCTAATTTTCTTCCACAGTAAAAATGCCTAAACACAGGTCTATGATTGCTCTAGCTTTGTAGTAGATTAATATAGAGTGTTGAAAGGGCTTATGGAAAGAAATTTTTTTATTATTATTTTTCCCTAATGAATTGTGCAGCCTGTTGTCCATACTGAAGTGACATAGTAATCTTGAGCTTTGACCTTCTGGAAGCATCTAATAGTATGCAAAAACAAAGTTTATGATGTCAGAAAGCATTTATACTGGCTCACATGAAACTGGAACAATAACCAAAGCACTAGCCTGTGATCTGGGAAAAAAAAGCAGGACTTTGGGGGTTAGTAGAGGCTTCATTGATGGCAACTGCAATGAGTTCATCTTAAGCAGGGGACTGTGGTATTTACCTGAAGATGGAAAGAAGCAGTAGTTTTGCACCTCTTTCAGAAAAGGCAAAGTTCAAGGCAAAGTGAGAATGTCTTCTCCATGAATCCGCACAGAAAAATACTTTTGCATTCATGTGACATTGAGAAACAAATGACAGAGAATTTTCCATTGATAATTTAATTTGGAGGCCAGAGGGCCATCAATAACGTCATAAGCATACAACATAAAGCCAACTTTTCCCTGAGACAAGCAATCACAGTATAAATCTTTACAGCACGTTTGAATTTGTGCCTATGGAATGCAAAATCTTGAAAAATATAAATAAGTGGTGGGGACAGATTCAAGCCCACCGCAGATCATCATGTCTTTTTCATAAATACTTAAAACACAGAAAAATGAATCTGTAGATCTGGGCAGTGGAGTGTTACCCAGAGGTGCTGAACATCTCTGTCTCCTATCTATTTTAAAAGAAGATACAGAAACATCAGAATCAGACAATTGTCATCTGTCAGGGTCATATAGCAGAAAAATTCAGCCCTAACAGCTAGAACCTAAAATACATTAGGGGCCTCAATTTCTGGAGTAAAATTTACCCATTCCAAGATCCAGGTTCCTTTGGTGGTGCATATTTGCCACTGAAATCAAGGATTTTTAGCAGAAAGTATGTTGAGTGAGGCAATGTTTAAACCCACTAAGAAATGAGGAAGAGAAGCTGATAACCCCAAATCATATTTCCCATAGGACTAAGCCACGCACATAGAGCCCTCAGTTAAGCATTAAGATGTAATTCACATTCACAGCAAAACCTTCTGACTCACAGGCGCTTTGTTCCTCGAGGGCTGGACGACTGGATTACTCTTTAATTTTTGAAGATGGATGGTGGTGATGCTGCTTCTCGTCTTTTATAGCAGTGGTTAAAGCACTCACCCAGAAACTGGTGAACTGACTATGGTTCACTGACCTCCTCTGAGAGAGGGGGTTCAAATCTATGGCTTCCAGCCCAGCCTCTGGCTTCCAAGTGAAGTCACAATTACTGGTGATTTGGGAAAGGAGGGCAGAGCAGGAAAAGAAGGAGAGGGGCAGTTGGCTTCCCACTGAAGCTGTGCAGCTGTTCAGCAAAGGATGTAAGATTTATAAGGCCTGAGAGAAAGAGAAAATTAGAAAAATGGAGCTTGACTCTAGCCTAAACATGAAGGCTTCCTCTGGGAGAAAGTAAGAGCCATCCTCTTCAATGTTGCTAATGCTTCTAATTAATTTAGTTTTAAATGAGGTTTTACAGTAAGATTTTCATATGTGTGAATGGAGTCACTCTTTGATACATTTATCAACATTAATGAAGAGGTGAGTTTGCAATAGATGCCTGATGAAAGGCTGTGTTGGAATGTGAAGCCACGCTCTGTGCAGGGTGACACCATGCCCTGTACCATCATTCCAAGAGCCACCTGTGTCACTGCCCATGCTGAGCAGCCATGTTGTGCCTGCAGGGAGCATGTGGGCACACTCTGCCTCCCCTGAAGGCATTTCCCTGTCTTCATGCCAGCTGAAGGTCAGCTACAATGCAGAATCATAGAATCACAGAATCAGAGAACGACCTGGGTTGAAAAGGACCACGATGATCATCTAGTTTCAACCCCCCTACTATGTGCAAGGTTGCCAACCACTAGACCAGGCTGCCCAGAGCCCAGGATGCCCCATGCAGCCACTAAGATTAACTGGTAACAGGATAAAGAAGGAACTGGTATGAAAGAAAACTGACAATGGAATGAGGACAAAAGGGGATGAAGTTGTATGTGAGTACTCACAGGAGCAAGCAGAACCAATCTGCTTGCCAAAGGCGGTTTTCCCAGAAGGAAGGAGCAGAGTTCTGGCGCAGGCTCCCCTTGCACCACTGCCCACGTGCACCCAGCTCTGGTGACAGAAAGATGAGAAGTGAAATGAAAGGAAAACCAGATGTAGGCAAACTTCAAGATGCCATTTGGGTGCTCTCTTAAAGCAGGATAAAGCCTAATGAGATTGGTGTCTTCGCAACTTTTCAGTACATTAAATGCTTTGTTTTGTTTCGATTGCTTCCAAATTCATTCACCAGTCAGGTTACAATTATTGCTGCCCTTGGAAGAACCTCCTAATTTCCACACTATTGTTCATTCAGACACTTTAGTTAGTTGCTATTTGGGGCAAGTGCTGGAGATGTCACAGGTTTACTGATTTTCTTTTTAATTTAATCTCTATTTTATTTAATCTTCAAGAGTTTGGAGATCAGAAGCTATGCAAAAAAATTGCTTCTTTGTGCAACGTTTGCTTTGGTTGGCTGATAGTGAATTTGTAGCCACAGCAATGGCTTTGATTCACCAGGGAGAAAATCATGCTTTTACCTAATCTAACCAAACCAACTTTGTTCAGATTGATTCAGCTTCCAGCCTTGGCTCTGACCTCACCCTTACCCTCAATCCTGCCTCACTTTCACACTGAGTATTTTATACAGCCTCTATTTTCTCTCTGCATA